AGTGAGGGCCAAACTGTATGAACGTCACAATTTCTTACCTCAAAGGATGTCAGCCAAGATCTAAACACAATTTACGTGTGACTTCATGTTTACACTGACAGCCAAACAACAACTAGCTATATCGCAGAATAAAATAGTTCCCCAAAAGGAGAGGTGACATGAGCGTATGGATGCAGAACTTGCTCTTCAGAAACATCTTACGCAACACATGTGTTCATATAATATCCCCATTAGATGAGAAATGCCTGTAATGAACTACCTCAGTAAGTCAGCCACAATGACAGCGCGTCGTAATACATTTACGTCAAAATGTCCGACACGATAAACGTGACGGGAGGATTTCCGAAGTTGTTAATGAACCTGTAGTGGTCATGTGTTAGTCATCATTGATCAACTGACCGATTATTGAAAGGTGATTAAAGATGCGTGAAACAGACACCAAGGTAAATTCGTAGATTGCTGGAGACGGTCACTGTCAGCCTAGACACAGATCGAGTCGATACTGACGATAGTTTGGATGTGCATTTTTTCGTTTGTTCATTAGGATGGGCCGTAGCGAGGAAATTCGTGAACAATCATGCAGTCAAGCTCTCTTACGTTTCTCAATGTATACTGAAATGCTGAGACCAAGATTAAAGGTTCTAAATGATCAGAAATAATGTTTATGTATGTTTTCGTGCTAGGGAATTCCCAGGGGTTTCCCCAGGAATGTGGAAGTAGTCCGTCAGTGTTTACGTCATTTCAAGAACACGGTCTCGTGAAAAACGTATGAACGTCAAATTGTGTCGTTCATCCACTTATGAACGTCAATTTCGCGGTCATATGACCGACCTCTCGTCCAATGGAAAAGCCGTATATCGTGTAAACGTCAAATTAAAAAATTATAATAAAATAATAAAGTCCACGTTAGTCCATCATCTTCTTTATATCAGTTTCATACATAGTACTTTCGCTGTCTCATGACAATGACATATAATGACGTCATACTTATGATGACGTCATAAATTACAACTGTGACGTCATAATGTATTTACACACTCCAGCGACGACACCAAGTAATTTAACAATTGTAGGGAGACATTTGAATTAAATATACAGTATTTGTAAAGTAACAGTGCAACATTTACGATTGAAATGACAAATCTATTAATACATTCTAGAGTTCAATTTTGGTTTCATCAATTGGATAAACATTTGTTCTTTTTCCAGTCTCAGCTGCTTGTTATATATATATATAATGGGATGATTGGGTGACAATATCCGCTTGAATGATTGTGCATAATTAACAGTGAATTAGCCGACGCACTGCGCAATACTTGCCTTAATTAGTTTTAATAATTCAAATAAAAAAATGTAAGATATTGCTGTGCTATCTAATGGTGCCTCTTCTGATCGTCTAAATGTTATTCAAACAAGTCATGTTATATTTATCGATCTGGCTAGTCGCATTGTCGCAATGTTTTGTTGTTGTTGTTGTTATTGTTGTTCACGCTCAGTAACTACATTACCGGTGACGATCCGGGGTAGAATAGGTCTTCAGCAACCCATGCTTGCCGTAAAAGGCGACTATGCTTGTCGTAAGAGGCGACTAACGGGATCGGGTGGTCAGATTTTGTTTCAGCTACAGATGCAAAACTAGATATTTTTTAATTAAAGCTATGAGTCTGAATATTTGTTTAACAAAAGAACCTTGCAACAATGTAATGGCAGGGAATTTCAATATCAAATGGTTGTTTCCTAATGTTCATCTACCCGAGGTTTATTTCACGTGGGACTCAACAGAATGAAATAAAAAACAAACAGTTTCAGTACCGTGTGTGAGAGAAAGGTCAAGGTTACAACAACGTGATATCTTGGAAGAACCTTAGGAGATATTCTTTAAATGTATTAAATAATTCGATCTTTTTCCAACAAATACAAACTGCAATATTCATATTAATGCTATACAATTGTCTACTCGAGACGCTTGACGAGCTGACAGTTCCTAGAAGGCTGACTGTACCTGTCTATACAAGAGTGAGGTGAGGGCGGTTGGACGCCTTTTACGACTTGATCACGACTTGCGTCTAATCTACATGCGCACTGCGGACAGGATATCGACCTATTGCCTACTTCCAAAGTCGTTTCCCATATTCAAAATGGAGCGCGTGCCTCATTCAAGACTGTGACTATTTCTGGACATCGCCGTGTACTCTGGCTTATGATCTGGCATGTAATTTATTGCTGTCACCTATTTGTCCATTGTATTGCCAGTTTTGACTGTAATCTTGTGTAGTCTTTTTGTAGACCTTTTCCCTATAAAGCACGTCTGGGGCATTATTGGGAGTCGTCTATGCCGACGTCAAAGGCCACTCCGATGTTAGGCGATCAGGGCCAGGCGCTGTACGAGGAGTGGACAAGGCTCCCACAAATTGTCTTTGGGAGATTGATTCGGACCTTGTCACGCCATATGAACGAATAATTTACCAACCGTGGCGGCAACACCAACTTGATTGTCGCGTTAAGCCTAGTCCTTGGTTTCTCTTATCTATTCATTATAGGGGCGGTCGGGTAGCCCAGTGGTTAAAGCATTCGCTCGTCACGCCGAAGACCCGGGTTCGATTCCAAAATGGGTACATTGTGTAAAGCCCATTTCTGGTGTCCCTCGCCGTGATATTGCTAGAATATTGCTAAAAGCGGCGTAAAACCATAGTCACTCACTCACTATTCATTATCATCACTCGGTTCTTCTTTGTATCCTGTCACGGCCTTTGCGGTCTAGTGTATAGAGCGTCTGCCCGGAGAACGTAAGGTCATGGGTTTGGCTGCGTCATACCCAAAGACGTTAAAAGATGGTACTTGTCGTTAACCTGTCTGACGCTCGGCATTATAAAGGGGCTAAAACAAGTACATGTCGGCTCGGAGTCAGTATACCGTGTCTGAGTGGGTTTAGCACTATACACTCGGCATGAGTCTGGACTAGTACAATTAGACACACACACACACACACACACACACAAACACACACACACAAACACACACGCTGTTAATATCTTCTCGGTAAAGTTTTCAGTTGAATATCATTTAGCCATCAATATTCAAGCTATTGCAGATTTATCACGATTAACTTTTAATAATCACGTCTTTATATTTTAATGAAAGATTGAATTTCAGTTCACTTATGTTTAGGAATCCTATTGAAGGTGGTGAGGTGAAATGGGGTTTAACGTCGCGTCCAATATTATTGCAGTTATATAGTGACGTGCATGCACGTGTGTGTGTGTGTGTGTGTGTGTGTGTGTGTGTGTGTGTGGCTGCTTGTACTAGTCCGGACTGATGCCGATTTACAGTGCTAGCTCACTGAGATACCATGCCGCAGTGTAACATGAATACCCCACTTAACATGAATAGCCCCATAATGCCGAGCGCCAGACAGGGTAACAACAAGTACCATCTTTTAACGTCTTTTGGTATGACGCGGCCGTGGATCGAGCCCCGGACCTTCCGCTCGCCGGGTGGAGGCTCTACCACTAGACCACGGAGGCGCTCGCCGGGTGGAGGCTCTACCACTAGACCACGGAGGCGGTTGAATCCTATTGAAGCTGGTATTTTCGTTAAAGAACGATTTGAAGAAACCTATTATGAGAATCAGAACGAAACATGGGACAATACATATTACTCCTGATATTTGTAGGCATTCCTATTTTCGTCTGACATGTACACTAGTTGTTAATATCAGTGTCCAAGGGCGTAAATTTACGTTTCGGCCCTCGGAGGGTAGCTCAGGGTGATGACGGAAGACAAAACTCAGGGGTGAAGTTTAGACGACAGCAGCCATATTTATTGTTGATGGTTGAAATGAGTCGAAAAGGTACATGTTGATAATAACGTGACAGAACGCACACCGGGACCTAGTGGCCAATGTTCCCGGGTGGGAGAAGCGTTCTGTCACTTACCTTCTGGCTGTCTCTCTCCCTGACTGACCATGTCAGTCGCGTTTTGTAGAGCGAGGAATTACGTAACGTGTGGCAATGTCATTGTCCCACGTGTATGTATAGACGTAAGATCCGGCGACGTTAGGAGGTGTTAATTGAAATGTATAGATATAGCGCTGGAGATTAAGGGTCCTACCCGGAGGGGCTTATGATAAGAGGGGATACGCCGAATGTTTGCTGAATATATTAAACAGACAAAGGGCATAGAATTTCGGTGCACTTGGAAACATATTGAACCAGTTAGGTATTTAGATAAATGAAATGTTAAATAAAAGTATTGAAATTGTTTGCACAATTATAAATAAAAGTATTGAAATGGTTTGCACTATAACATCAGGAACAAAGCAACAGACGTGTAAACACGCAAGTCGACCAAGCCGACCAACCTGACCAAGCGTCTATTAAATACGCGACAAAATCAGGAATTCCTTGGAACGCAGTTTACAGTGAACACTTGGCCCAGTTCTACTTAATTTATATATATATAATACATGAATGTCAGACTGTGAACACTTAGCCCGGGTCTACTTAATACATAAATGTCTAACAAGGAACAGTTGGCCCAGTTCTACTTAATACATAAATATCACACTATGAACACTTGGCCTAGTTCTACTTAATACATAAATATCACACAAGGAACACTTGGCCCTGTTCTACTTAATACATAAATGTCTAACAAGGAACACTTGGCCCTGTTCTACTTAATACATAAATGCCACACAAGGAACACTTGGCCCAGTTCTACTTAATACATAAATGTCACATAAGGAACACTTGGCCCAGTTCTACTTAATACATAAATGTCTCGCCATGAAAACTTGAAACATACTGGTCGAACCTCGCAATGAGCACTTAAAATTATATACTGGTGCATTTCTCACAATGAACCTTGACATCCGGCGCAGTTCTCACAGTGAACAATTACATACTGGCGCAGTTCTCACAGTGATCAATTGCATACTGGCGCAGTTCTCACAATTAAACACTCGCATACAGGCATGAATGTTCTATAGTAACACTTACGTACTGGCGCAGTTCTAGTTATCACCTCCACTGCATGTCATATCTCCTCACTCCGTATGATATCCCAGTCAAGGTCGATTATCCAGCCAAGCGCAGAAAACGTGTACGCGAGATAAGGACCTTTATAATTATATCAGCTTGCTTTCAGCAAATCCTTTCTAGGTCGGTGATCGGTGAGACTGTGTCTGCTATAAATAGACACAGAGTACATAGAGCGTTTTTTCTCGCTCAGAGAAGTTCACAGAGATGTAGATGTATCTATATACCCCCCCCCCCCCCCCCCCCCCCGCGCAGTTGACAGAAGTGGTTAGTGAATACAGTTGAGAGTAAAGGTTAGTGAATACAGCCGACAGAAGTAGTTAGTGAATACAGCTGTGAGTAATGGTTAGTGAATACATTTGACCGAAGTGGTTAGTGAATAGAGCTGAGAGTAATGGTTAGTGAATACAACTGAGAGAAATAGTTAGTGAATACAGCTGAGAGAAATGGTCAGTGAATACAGCTGAGAGTAATGGTTAGTGAATGCAGCTGAGAGTAATGGTCAGTGAATAGAGTTGACAGAAATGGTTAGTGAATACAGCTGAGAGTAATGGTAAGTGAATACAGCTGAGAGTAATGGTCAGTGAATACAGCTGAGAGTAATGGTTAGTGAATAGAGTTGACAGAAATGGTTAGTGAATAGAGCCGAGAGTAATGGTTAGTGAATAGAGTTGACAGAAGTGGTTAATGAATAGAGCTGAGAGTAATGGTTAGTGAATACAACTGAGAGAAATAGTTAGTGAATACAGCTGAGAGAAATGGTCAGTGAATACAGCTGAGAGTAATGGTTAGTGAATGCAGCTGAGAGTAATGGTCAGTGAATAGAGTTGACAGAAATGGTTAGTGAATACAGCTGAGAGTAATGGTTAGTGAATACAGCTGAGAGTAATGGTCAGTGAATACAGCTGAGAAATGGTCAGTGAATAGAGTTGACAGAAATGGTTAGTGAATACAGCTGAGAGTAATGGTTGGTGAATACAGTTGACAGAAATGGATAGTGAATACAGCTGAGAGTAATGGTTAGTTGGCACAGTTGACAGAAATGGTTAGTGAATACAGCTGAGAGTAATGGTTAGTGAATGCAGCTGAGGGAAATGGTTAGTGAATACAGTTGAGAGAAATGGATAGTGAATACAGCTGAGAGTAATGGTCAGTGAATACAGCTGAGAGTAATGGTTAGTGAATAGAGTTGACAGAAATGGTTAGTGAATACAGCTGAGAGTAATGGTTGGTGAATACAGTTGACAGAAATGGATAGTGAATACAGCTGAGAGTAATGGTCAGTGAATAGAGTTGACAGAAATGGTTAGTGAATACAGCTGAGAGTAATGGTCAGTGAATTCAGTTGACAGAAATGGTAAGTGAATACAGCTGAGAGTAATGGTTAGTGAATGCAGCTGAGGGAAATGGTTAGTGAATACAGTTGAGAGAAATGGATAGTGAATACAGCTGAGAGTAATGGTCAGTGAATACAGCTGAGAGTAATGGTTAGTGAATAGAGTTGACAGATATGGTTAGTGAATACAGCTGAGAGTAATGGTTGGTGAATACAGTTGACAGAAATGGATAGTGAATACAGCTGAGAGTAATGGTCAGTGAATAGAGTTGACAGAAATGGTTAGTGAATACAGCTGAGAGTAATGGTTGGTGAATACAGTTGACAGAAATGGATAGTGAATACAGCTGAGAGTAATGGTTACTGAATGCAGCTGAGAGTAATGGTCAGTGAATACAGCTGAGAGTAATGGTTAGTGAATAGAGTTGACAGAAATGGTTAGTGAAAACAGTTGAGAGTAATGGTCAGTGAATACAGCTGAGAGTAATGGTTGGTGAATACAGTTGACAGAAGTGGTTAGTGAATACAGTTGAGAGAAATGGTTAGTGAATACAGTTAAAAGAAATAGTGGGTAGTCTTGACAGAATTGATAACTCAAGCAAATGACATTAACACCTTTGTAGGTTAAGTTGACAAAGTGGTTAGTGGGTACTTACCATATGTTCCTGTGTTTTCTCAGGTGACAATTTGACTTGCCTTTGCTTGTGTTTGTGATCCAGGCGGAAGGATAAGCTTACCTATTCGTAAAAACCTGGTATCATCACTATGTGATAGTGATTCGTAAACACAAGTTCGTGATATAGTAGGATTCTTAAATGAAATGTTTTTAAATTTATTTTTTTATGTGGAAATGGTTTTCGTCACTTTAACTTACGCTATTTTTAACAGTATTTCAGTTGTATCAGGACGCGTCAGGTGGATGTGGGGTTAAAGCCAGAAAAGATTTGACTTTCAGGGGGCCCAGTCGTCTAAGGCGCCACCGTTCTCTGTAAAGTGTTTCGTCCCTTAGGTTCGCCAGAAACCTATGAGTTCGAATCCCAGTTCGAATATGTTTCTAGGTTTGTTGGCACCATACTTGTGCAGCTCGGTGTTATAAAGCCTACTGTTGCTAACCATTGTCACAAACTGTCTATTTACCATGAGTTAAATTGTGTCCGTTCCTAAGAATATTAGCTTCCGCAATTATTGTTGCCAAATCAGCAGTTTCAACCAGAAGTTGTTTTTGAGATTTGAAACTTCTGAACTACCAATTAAATGAGATGGGTTTTTAGTCATGGCAGAACATTGTCAGCAATATCAAAGCTCTATCACAATGACCTTTAAATAATCGGTTCTTGGTTATGACAGGACCCCTGTGCCTCATGCCACTACAGGGGCGGTCGGGTAGCCGAGTGGTTAAAGCGTTCGCTCGTCACGCCGAAGACCCGGGTACAATGTGTGAAGCCGATTTCTTGTGCCCCCCGCCGTGATATTGCTGCTGGAATATTGCTAAAAGCAGCGTAAAACCAAACACACTCACTCATGCCACAACAAGATGAGTGAGTTGGGATTTTAACGCCACTTTTAAAAGTAGTCCAGTTGTATCGCGGCATGTCTGTTTAATTTGGCAGGAAAGCCTGAAGTGATGCAGGTCTCAGACGTTTACCACTTCGGTCACCCACGAGCACGGGTATGGTGCTGACAAACCTAGAAATATAGTCGTGGCTAACCAGGATTCGAACCCACAATCATAGGTTTCTGGTGTGCCCAAGGGACGCAACTCTGCACAGCGAATCGCGACGCATTAGACGCCTGGGCCCCCCTTGCCCCTCACTACATGGGCCCCTGAAGATGGATAGTAGTTAGATATCTGAAACCTCATCCGGGACATTGCAAATGGTTTCGGGTCATTCAAACGTCTCTTTGTAGACCTGTTATGGCGCTTATCCGGTTTGACACATATTATGACGCAGACCTGGTCGCGTAACGGCACAGTGATATTTTGGCACAGATCCCTTTCCATAGATAAATGTTTGCCCCTATATGACACGGTGTTTGATAATAAGGGCGTTTGGCATTTTATCCAAAATGTCGCAAATTACACGATCAACGTGGATAGCTGCTATTTTATAACCACGGTAGTCATGTGATGGGTTCGGGATATGATGCCCACGTTGACAGACCGTCAGATCAGCCCTGCTTGTATGTTCCTCTATAGTTATACTTTACAACCGTTTCAAAGCAATTTATACTTTGTTGAGAGTGTGACGTTGGTTTTACGCCGCTTTGGAAGGTGAGGTGAAATGGGGTTTAACGTCGCGTCCAAGATTATAACACTTATATACCGACGTGCAAGCATGTGTGTGTGTGGGGGGGGGGGGGGGGGGGGGTGGGGGGGGGGGGCTGATTGTACCAGTCCGGACTAATGCCGAGTTTATAGTGCTAGCTCACTGAGATACCATGCCGCACAGTGTAACATGAATATCCCACTCAGACACAGTATACGGACTCCGAGCCAACCAGTCCTTGTTTAAGCCCCTTAATGACGAGCGCCAGACAGGGTAACAACAAGAACCATCTTTTGGTATGATGCGGCCGGGGATTGAACCCCGGGTCTTCCACTCTCAGGGCGGACGCTCTACCACTAGACCACGGAGGCGGTCTGAAAGAATTCAGGTCATATGTATACATACATATATATATATGTTGGCTTCCTTTGGTGGTTAAAATGACTCACAATCATAATGCAGGTTTGGGTGGATGACGTGATAAACAGCTCAGCACTGAAGAAAGAGCCAACGTGAGAGTTAATATGTTCCCTGAACATTTGTTCTGCAATAAAGTGTACATCACGAGTGAGTGAGTTTGGTTTTACGCCGCTTTTAGCAATATTCCAGCAATATCACGGCGGGGGACACTAGAAATAGGCTTCACACATTGTACCCATGTCGGGAATCGAACACGGGTCTTCCGCATGGCGAGCAAACGCTTTAACCACTGGGCTACCCGACCGCCCCTGTACATCACGAAATGAATTAAGGTTATGATAAAGTGTATTATCGATATCTTGAAAATAATTGAGGATATCTTAAATTTGATTAAAGTTACTATATATGTTAAAAGGAATAAAAAAAATGATATTTTTTAATTAATCAGTAATTCCTCATATTTTGCAATTAAATACAGATATCTTCAAATCATTTGTTGATATCATGAAATATTGCTATTATTAAACACTTCCGTTAATTTATTGACATTTTCAAATACTTCCGGATGTAAAGTACCCTGGGTAATGTTTCTCTTCATGGCCTGCGGTGCTGATGCTTCTCAAAAGGTTCTTGACCGTGTTCGTTCTACAGTGGCTGACATACTACGTTTGTCATCTTCCCGACATTCTTTAAATGCCCAGGTTTCCACCCTTGCCGAACTAGGCAGGAATTACTGGGCTCGATCGTAGCGCAACCAGTGGCTATTACCAGTTATGTCCCTTCTAAGCCTCGCCTATGGACCAATCAGATTCCACCTCTCGTATCACTTGCGTTTGCTCCAAACAAAATGGTGGCGCCCAGTCAGGACGACCTGATCGATAATCAAGATCTATATTGTGATAAAACGGATCTTACATCGCAAAATGCATCAAATTACATGAGCACCTTGATTAAAAACATGAAAAGATTTGGAAAATATCTGCTGACAACGAGTTGGCGGTGCACAAGCTTTGCAAATCCTGCAATCGACCGAAATCTGCACGACAGTTAACGAACCGGATTTCGATTTCGGTGCGCGATTTTGATTGGACTATGCATAGACTCGTTAGTCCAGCCAAAATGTTACTCCATAATACCAGCCTAGTTCGGCAAGGGTGGAAACTGGACTCTTAGAGTCAATTAACTCCCGTCTCGGGAAGATGTACATTTGTTGACTTAACGTGCCAATGTTTCGTCAGCTAAACAGCACCTTTAGACGTCTTTCTCCAAGTTACAAAGTGTATCGTTGAGTGGTTGATGGTTAGTGTTACGTCTGCAAACTTATATTGGGATCACTAACAGTCAGGGACACCACCTATCAGTACAAAGTTCGCCTTACGGGGATTCGAACCTAGGTCTTCTGCCTGACGATTGAGCACGCAACCGCCTGAGCTACCCGCCCCTGAAACTACATACATACATGTATGATTGCTACACTGAACAACGGATTGGCAGAAATAAATTATAATTGTATCGTTTTATTCACTATATCTGAGTCGCAAACGAAAGTATACCCAGTTTGTTGTTTATGTAATTGAAAATTGAAGGAGCTGTTGTTAATTTGATTATGTCTATTTAACCATCACTGTTACCTGCTACAGTTTGTAAAAAGTAAAATAATGTACTCTGCTCAGCTTATAAGTATCGCCCTCCCCATTGTTTATATTAGATGGTGACAGGAGTCACTTCTGGTTTGACATTATTTACCAAAAACTACGAGGGAATGAAAGTTTATTTACTGTCACCCGGCTGACTATTTTAGATTTGATTCTCAGAACTTGCTAGTATCGAGATATATTGTTGATATATTTGATATCAAAAGACACTCGGGTGAGATTTTATTTATCATCCTAAACCATTCTTCCAACTTTTCCGTTTGTAGACAGTAATAAGCAGTATCTTAAGTGTAAAAAGTACTGCTGACAGCTTCGGTAGCAGAGCCATTAGTGATGTCATTTGATTGTGACGTCATGGTAACAATGACGTCACAATGGTCTACAAAGCATGTGGTATACAAAGGGTAAATGGTTGACCTTCATGCCATATAAACAGGTGAATTTCGTCTCTTCTTTCTTCTCAATGCTGAGACCATGTTTGGAAATTCATCACTGCTGTCCTTTCCTAAACTCTTCCGCGAATTGCTTGGCGTGGTGTACAGAAAGTTACTGCACCAGTTGTGCGTCATTCGCCGCCATTTTTGCAACCTGAAGAATTTACGGATGACGCCGGAAGTGTTTGAAGGTTTCTGTAAATCAGTTGCCGCCCTCTTTGGTTCTTTCGTATTTTTTATATGACAGATATTAACAACTGATATAAAGATACCTTCAAAATTATTTATGATATCTTCAGTTGTTTTTTTTAATGTCAGTTACGGTCAGAATTGATGATATCTTGAATTATTGAATTAAGGATATCTCAAATAGAATTGAAGATATCTTAAACGAATTAATGATATCTGCAATGCATTTGTAGATATGCATACATAATTTCACTTGAATTGAATTTACGATACCTTAAATTAGCATGATTGTATTCAGTATGATAATTGTTTCAATGATATCTTTAATGCATTTAGAGACTAAGATTTCAATAATTGGACTTTGAATATATTCAATTATTTTTTGATATCTTAAAAACGTGTTTGGTATCTTTAAATAAGTGTCGCTGTATAACAGTGCACTGAAAGTGTGTTACTGTCGTCCCGTAAATCGTGTGATAATGTGATACCGTAAATGTGATAATGAAACGGACGATATGCATGTGTTGTTCGACGCTAATATTGGTGTGTTTGCAACTGGAGCGGTTGGTAAGGTTTCAGGCGTTGATAATATGGGATTGCAACAACAGAAAAATACTATGGGAGAAAGTAAAAAGTATTGGTGTAAAGGTTAGAAGGTTTACAGCGCTTCAACTCTGTGTGAAAATGTCAAATGCAGTGTGCGTGTGAATGGTATGTTTACCTCCAGCTGGTTTGATGTAAATCGTGGCATTAA